CATACGCACAAACAAGCACGCGCGCCTCCCTCGAGTATTCCAGCGCTTCCTCCCATAGCGCGTGCGAGTTAATTATCATATTTCAAGAAGAAACATTAACGGAGACCGGCAGCTGGGATTTATCACCGACGGGCACGGAATGCAGTTTTTCCTCCTTTGTGAGAATTGGATTGCAATCGTGGAAATGAAGGCGGGGGCCGTGGGGGAAAGATTCGCGTTGATTAATTAAGCAAGGGAAAATATTATAATTATAGCTGGCGAGGTGTTGGTGAGAGATAGGCAAGGGAGGAGTCCTTTGGCGTCACACAACAAAGTCACCGTGTCCTCAGTTTTGACTCTTGACTTGGGTCTCCGAAGTTTTCTGTCTTCAGTCCTTGTATTTCACGCTTTCCTCCCCTGTTGGATATCATTTATCCGTTCGCTCGTTCGTTCGTTCGCTTATTTGTTCATTCGTTCGTTCGCTTATTTGTTCATTCGTTCGTTTGTTTTTTCGTTCGTTCGTTCGTTCGTTCGTTCGTTCATGCGGGTGTTTTGGGTGCGCCATCGGTTGATCCTACTTCTACCTTTCCCTCAGTTGTTTGTGTCTGTCTTACACTTTCTTTACAATATGACTTTAATTGTGTGGATGGTGTTCTCTTTGCTAATTAACTCACATTCATTCATTCATTCATTCATTCATTCATTCATTCATTCATTCATTCATTCATTCATTCATTCATTCATTCATTCATTCATTCATTCTTTTCTTCACGTGTTGGTGGGTGTTGGGTGCTCTGGTGCAGTTTGCTCCTTCTTTCCTGTGAAACATGACGTATCTTCCTTCGCTGATTCTCTCCTCCTTCTTTTCTGTGTATGCTAACTTTTAAGTGACGCCTCTAATCTTCGGCGCTTATAATATGACCTATTTGCGTTGCAAGTGCCGTAAAACTCTTACTAAAGTTTTGTTCTTTCGCGTCAGTGTGTACACCAGTCGGGGGTGGTTGGCGGGTGCTGTGGTGTGGTTTTCTTCTTCTTTCCTATCAAACATCCTTCCTTTTTGTGTTTGTTACTCTCTTGTAACACCTCTAATCTTCGGCATTTCTATGACCGTATTGTGTTCCAAGTACCGTAAAACTCTTACTAAAACTAAAACTAACATTCGGCATACAAGTGCTGTAAAACTCTTACTAAGATTTTGTTCATTCGCGTCAACGTGTACACCAGTCGTTGTTTTTTTCCGTACCTGTTTCCATGCCCCTCCACCCAGTCCCATGTGAATGCCATTACCTAACCACCTGCGCTCTAATGTGTTTACTAACTGTCCCGGCGAAATGAAGTCTTTTGTTTACAGTCTAGTTGCGAGCATTTCCTGCAGTTTCCTGGCTTTGTTGAAATTACAGTCGGTGCCGGCCCTCAGTATTTTAGCTTCACGGCTGTATTATTTTGAGGCTGTGTGTTATTTTCATTTTCTTCATTATTC